CAGCTCCCTCCCTCTTTGTAGATTTTCCGTATGTCTGGAACCCTTGTGCTCATTTGCTGTCACCTGCTAAATTCTAACTTGTTCTTCAGCTCAAATGTCACTTCCTCAGGGAAGCCTTCCCTGCCCATCAGGTTTATACTGGGGGCATTTCTCCTTTATCACTTATAGTTGGGCGTTGGGTTGTTTACTTGTCTTTGTCTGTTACCTCCATTGCCCTGTAAGCTCTGTGACAGCTTCTCACCATTCCATCTCCTGGTGCTTGGCCCAGGGCCTAGCACGTTAGACAATAAATATATGTTCAATGAATGATTGAAAGCCAGGAGTCACACACAGACTTGATGACACCAACTTTTATGTACAGTATTCCTCTCACCCCTCAACTTATGGGCTCAAGTGCCTAGATCATTAAATGAAAAGGAATCAGTTCTTTTAGCTGGGAAGCTAAAGCTTAGAAATGAAATTCTGAGCCACATGGCACATTTTAGTACTGTGCAAGGAGGTTTATGATTTAAAATTGTTAATAGTCAAATATTTAGAAAGCAATGTTTTGGCATTTTCCACTAGTGTAACACTAACGTACAGAGAGGATTACAGTGGAATTTATTTAACTTTCGCTTTTTAAAATAACAACAAACCATATTTCACTAAACTCCTTAGTGTATGATACTTTGGATGGAGGTGAGAGAATGAGGTGTTTTAGTTATGAGTTCTCAGCCTGGTAAGCATTATAACAAAATAAAAAAATTAATTCTAAAATTATAATGAACAAAATGTATCCTTTATTTAAAGACTTAGAAGATAGTTTCCAGAGTCTTGATTAATAAATTAATCACTTATTTACTAGTATAATGTATATCTGGGAAGTGCTAGCTAATAGAGAATTCATTTGGCCAAATGTTGGTTGACATTTCACTGAATATAATCATAAAAAAATTGGACAATACTGAATGTAATGAGACTTGAAGAACAGTCTACACCTTTTCTGCTCTACTTTATTTCCTGGAGGTTTTCCCCTGGCATTGAGATCTTTGTCTACACTGATGAAATCATCAAGATTTTGGTTACTGGTGACAAGCATGTCTGCTCTGGCAGTCTAGTAAGGTGACTTGGGCAAGAGGCTACATCTATTTTCAGAATCGTTTCTCCAAATAAACACTTCACTTTCTTAATATAAAGATGCTATCTTACTATATATAAACTTAAAATGCCTAATTCTTTTTCTCTAGAATTTTGTTTGATTATGGTCAGACTCTCTGGGGTTCTAGGTCTAAACCTTTTAGCCATAAATTCTCTCCCTACTTCTTGTTAAACTAATATCAGCTAATATTGAAACCCTCTCAATTGTCAAGATATCCCTTTAGTATCTGGTAAATGGCAAAAAAAAAAAGGTCCTCTTTTCCTTTCTCCTTCCTTCTTTCTTTCCTCTAATTCAATTAATAGACATTTACTGAGGGTATACTATGTGCCAGACACTATTTTAATCTCTGGGAATACAGCAGTGAAAAAAAAAGAATAGATAATGTCCTTGTTATTACAAAGCTTACATTTTTGTATGTCCTTTATAAATGGAAATAGAAAACAGTAGAAAATAGTCTAGTTGTTCCGATACTAGACTAGAGGGATGGTCACATATTTGGAAATGTCATTTATTGAGTAGATTGTGAAGGGGAGATATACATTTTTCTGAATTTTAAAATTTTCTTCCTTCCTATTTTGAAGGTTAGAGAAACCAAATGTTTTTAAACATAATGATCTATTCCATATAAAAAGTCTGATGGAGTGGCCGGGCGCAGTGGCTCACGCCTGTAATCCTAGCACTCTGGGAGGTCGACGCGGCGATTGCTCGAGGTCAGAAGTTTGAAACCAGCCTGAGGAAGAGCGAGGCCCTGTCTCTACTAAAAATAGAAAGAAATTAGCTGGACAACTAAAAATATATAGAAAAAAATTAGATGGGCATGGTGGCGCATGCCTGTAGTCCCAGCTATTTGGGAGGCTGAGGCAGGAGGATTGCTTGAGCCCAGGAGTTTGAGGTTACTGTGAGCTAGGCTGATGCCATGGCACTCTAGCCCGGGCAACACAGTAGACTCTGTCTCAAAAAAAAGTCTGATGGGGGTTTATGTTGATCCAAATTTAGAAAGGACAAATCTAAGAATTTATAAAATATTTTCAAATGTGTAGCCGGGCGCGGTGGCTCACGCCTGTAATCCTAGCACTCTGGGAGGCTGAGGCGGGCGGATTGCTCGAGGTCAGGAGTTCGAAACCAGCCTGAGCAAGAGCAAGACCCCGTCTCTACTATAAATAGAAAGAAATTAATTGGCCAACTAATATATATATAAAATTAGCTGGGCATGGTGGCGCATGCCTGTAGTCCCAGCTACTCGGGAGGCTGAGGCAGAAGGATTGCTTGAGCCCAGGAGATTGAGGTTGCTGTGAGCTAGGCTGACGCCATGGCACTCACTCTAGCCTGGTCAACAAGCGAGACTCTGTCTCAAAAAAAAATATATATATATATATTTTTTTTTTTCAAATGTGATTTAAAATAAAAATAATATTATTATGATTAACTAATGACTCCCAATATGACATTTATCTAAACATGATGCTCCATTCTCATTTCATCTGTTCAGGTGGTTTTTCCTGGGTCTTCTTGGAAGGCTCCTTATGAGAACAGGGCAATGTCTTACTTATCTTAGGGTACCCAGGGCTTGGTAGAGTGCTTGCTACATAGAAGCAGGTGCTTAATAACTCTGTTTATTGAAATTAAACATTCAGATTGGTAACAAGGATGGTTTGCAAACTGGCAAGATAAATATTAATAGGTTACTTCCATAGTTTCAGAATACCATGATGTCTTTAAAAAAATAAATGAATATTTATGTTTCTGTTTTTTTTATATAATGCAGAAAGCTTAGTAACTTAAGTGTATTTGTTAATTATAGAATAAAGCTTGTACTTGTGAATTTTTTAAAGCATTTAGTAACATGTGACCATATATACATCTTATTGCTCTTCCTGAATTTTTCCTTAAACATAACCAAATTCATCTTATTGTAATAACACGTGAATTAAAATAAATGTACAAATTTATGTAATAAGATATATAAATATTTATATAATTTATGTAATAATTTGTATAATTCATTTCACTGTATGTAATTTCTCCCTGCTCAAGTCTTTGGATAGCTGGAGGAATGGAGGCATAGACACTTCTTTTGTGTTATATGAAGTAGTTGTCTCAGAGTCTGAAAAACAGGACTGGCTTCACGAGTGTGTGACTTGTGCTATCACACAGGGTCTGCCCTTAGAAGAGATGAGCCCCATGTTGATTTAAAGCTCTCGCTGTCATGACATCGTTAATAATTTTTGAGCAAAGAGCTCTGCGTTTTTGTTCTGCACTGGGCCCCACAAATTATTTAGCTGGTTCTGGCTAAGAAGAGTCTCAATGTATTGGGAATAGAAGCTCTCTCATGTCATCCAGGACCAAAGTGTTTATTGCATTCAATTTCTATATTTCATGAGCTCAACAAGAGAAGAGCTCCAAGGGCCACTGGAGTCGGAATTGTCAGTCACTGGGGGAATCTATATACACTGTGACCAGAGATTTCAAACCAACAAAACATAAGCTTTTACTCAATAAATGAGATTTCCAAATACAGTGAGACCTGGTTAACAACTTTGGTTAGTGAAGTGAAAGCAATGCCAACAGATGGTTAATGTGGAACACATGCCTTGGATTCAGCTGTTACTTGAGAAAGTTCTGGTCTTTACTAGAATATGGGGACAGAGGCAGGTACAACTAACTTTACTGAAGAGTCTGGTTAGCCGTATTAGAAATATTTTTGTGATTTATAAAAAGTCCTTTAATATTTTTCTACCAAGCAAAATGAAGAACCGAATCCTTGAGGAAACTGCCTGCATGTAGAAAATGTTTCCCCAAATGGTGCATCTGGGATTGCAGTTTTCACTGTAAGTAAGCAATTTGATGGTGGGGAAAATTCTGTGATGCTATAGCTTAAAAGCACATCCTGTGCTACTTTTATATTGCATAAGTTGAAAGTCCTGCTGGCATCTGTAAGTTACCATTTAAAGGAAATGAGGATGATGATGATAATCATAATTATTATCATCTTTCTTTTGCATCAAAAGCAAATTATTAAATGGTAGATTCAGTTGTATCGCTAGAGCTGGAACCCATATTACTAAGTGAAGTATCCCAAGAATGGAAAAACAAGCACCAGATATATTCTCCAGCAAACTGGTATTAACTGAGTAGCACCTAAGTGGACACATAGGTACTATAGTAATAGGGTATTGGGGAGGGGGGGAGGGGGGGTGGGTATATACATACATAACGAGTGATATGCGCACCATCTGAGGGATGGTCATGGTGGAGACTCAGACTTGTGGGGGGAGCGGGGGAAGGGCATTTATTGAAACCTTAAAATCTGTACCCCCATAATATGCCGAAATAAAAAAATAAATAAATAAAAAAATAATAAAAAAAAAAGCAAATTATCCTAGAAGAGTTGGTTTACGACTCATCCTAATGAACCTACGTGAATTTAAAAATTAATTTCTAGGTGACATTTAAATTTTAGGCTGACAATTTTTCCCCCTGAGTGCAAAGTTTGTTTAGAATTTGAAAATTTTCACTTTCTTGAGAAAGTTATGCTTCTGTGATAAAAATTAAGTAGTAACATAGTTTCTAGAAATTCTTATGAGTGATCAACGGAAAACATTCAGGTGTAATGGTATATTCTTTAAGAAAGCAAATTTTGGTGTCAGACTTGGGTTCCAGTCTCTGCTGTACTACTTACTGTGTGATCCTGGGCAATTTACTTGATCTTTCTAAGCCTCCGGTTTCTGGATTTGAAATAGGTATGGGTGGATGTGAGGATCATATTAGAAAATGGACGAGGACATAAGAAACATTCTGCAAATAGAGCTAGTAGCATTGATAGCATTTTCTTCTCTAGGACATTAATCTCTTAAATAGTTACCTTATTGACAGGTATAATGTTTTTGACGTTGAAGTAGAAGCCAAAATAAACCATGTTGAAAACTCCATGACGTCCCAAAGTTGCCGTAAATCCTTTGTTGAGGCCCTGGAGCCCTAAGCCTTCCTTCTTAATGATGTGTCTTGCATAACTCATAGTGGATGGTTGCTGAAGAAGAGAGAAGCAAAGCCAGAAAAATTATCTTTGGGACTGTGGAACACAGTAAATTACCATAGTAGCTTCCCTCCAGCCAGAATTAATAGGGACTTTTCCCCCCAAACATGAATAATCATGCCTAGATTTGTGCTTTTTAAAATTAGAAAACCCCCAAAGTAAACAAAATTACATGCATAACAACAGGCTTTATAGGAAAGATAGTTGGCAAAGAGAAAACATCTTTGGTGGAATTAGTGAAACTGACATTATGTACTAACTATCACCACTTTCAACATGTAAATAATTGTGTCCAGTTCTGGATTATCCACACTGAAGGACAGTATTAACTACATAGATAAATTGGTAATCCACAACTGCACTTAATCCAGAAGAAATTTATATTTGGCTCCTCAATCCAGCATATTTACCTTTCTAATTATGTTTTTCTAATAAATGTTACAGATAGTCTTGATTCCATTACCTCAATGGTTTAAACTGGTGCTAGGTTAGAAATCATCCATAGATAAATAGCTGTCGATTGTCCACGTCCTCAAGGAGGTGGGCAATCAGCCTGTGTAGCACTGCTATGATAAATTATAAATAAACAGTGTTGGGAGTACTTGGTTACCTTGAATTTCCAGTCCTCTGATTGCCCAAGGCTGAAATATCCTGACTGCTGGAATCTAGTCTGTTGCTACCTTTGTAAATTGCTGGAGAGCTCACTGCAATTTGCTCTGAGGTTTCCAATTCATTACAATACAATTACAATTCATATGTGTTTTTAAAAAGTATGAGAGATTGTTTCCTTTTTTGGAGGTACTCGCAATAAAGATAACTTTCCTTCTCATATTTTGACTGAATAGTAAATAGGGGAAAGTGTTCAGTGGTTTTTTTCTCCCCCACCTATAAGACAAGCACTGGCATACATTTGTTTGATATTTCACTGAAGCAGGTTGCTAGAGTGGTCATGGCAGTCTGATGCACTTCCAGACTAAAAGTATTTTCTTCTCATGTGCAATTAAGGCTACATCCCCAGAGTAGTACTCCATGATATACGTAGCAGAATGGAATAGAACAAATTCAATAAAGGCTTTTCATCTAACTTGTTTTTATAATAGCTATATAATTAACATGACATATTCAAATGAGCTTGTTTATACAGTAAATCCTATAGTTTTTGCTGATAAATGTTTTTAAAACTCTAGCTACAATTCTATACTCAACTTCATCTATTCATTTAAGAAGATTAATTACAATAAATTACTTTAAGCTTAAGGAAAACCTTCTTTGTAACATGAAAAAACCATGTGAGACTGTGTCTTGAAACAATAAGACATAGCATATAGGAAAACCAAAAAATTTTCCAAAGGTTCAAGTTCACTCCCTGTTGTATAATGAGACATTTTTGTTTGTGTTTTGGCACACTGACTACCAATCCAAATTATTTATTTGGGTTTTAAAAGAGACAGGACAAGTTGAGGAGAAGCTCATTTTTGTTGGAAAGACCCTAAAAGAGCTGAGTAAACTGTCTAAGTACTGCTCTCTTGCTCTGAAGCAGCCTAGGGGCAGGGAAGGAGAGGAAGCAGCTTTCCTGGGGATGGGAGGAATGGGGCAGAGGTGAGGCCATCTGGGCCCAGACTGACCCACACAGGCGCTCCCTGCCTCCAACCTAAGCCTTTTCTCCACCCTCACTCAGCTGAGGCGCTGAGAGTGGAAGGGACCAGGAGCTCAGGGGCTATCTAGATTCTAGAGCAACAGAGAAACCAATGGCTTTACATCAAAGTGCAAATAACAATGGCTTTCCCTTAAAAAATGGGTATAAAGATGTTTCTATTATTTAAAAATCTTAGTTTGCTAAATCATCACAATTACGATGGCTAAACTTAGTATTAATTTGGAGATAGTATCTTTCTCATCATCTTGAAAAGAGAAGACTTTTACTAGATCTTGGTAAGAGTTTACAAATATTCAAATGGCACTTACTGATCTTCTAATTCCTGATTTTCACTGGCTTGGGTGCTGGGTGGGTATGAGAAAGTGTAACGCATGGATTTTAAATTCAAGTGCTTTGTTGAGTTTGAAGTCTAGTTGTCAATTTACATCAGAGGGTAGCATAGTAATAGAAATAGGAGCTTGGAGACAGCTTCAGGTTTGTGTCAGCAGTAAGGCTGGCTAACTTTGGCAAGTATTTATTCTCTCTGATTTATCCTCACCTTACCGATTTGTAAACAAGGATAGTAATAGATTTTTCCTTATAGGACAGTTGTGACATTAGGTCAGTCGGTGAAATCAGTTCGTTGTAAGCATTCACTACATATTTAGCTGTTAATAATAATGGCAATTATGCTGACAGTCATAAAAATAGTTATAATAATAAAAAACAAGCATTTTCTTTGTTAGTTGAAGGCAGTGAGAATCAAAAGGTGTAGGCTGCCTTGAGGGAGAGGAGGATATATTTAATTAGCTTCCTCTTTCTCATTCATTATGGCTGTCCTTTCTTTTTCCTAGAGTCCTGGATTCTTGACATGAAGTCCACCAAAAATTCATCCAGAATGCAAGATAACAGGTCTGCTTCCTCTGAGGCCCAACCAAATCCAAGCCCTGGTCTGGAGGTCTCATTCCAGGGATAGTGCCTCACTCCAGGAGCTTTCCTCTCTGCAGCAGTAGATCCTGTAAATTGGCCTCTTCCTTACCCCTCAAAGTTAGCATCCTGGCTAAGACCTGACCACTTGGCAAGTCTATGGGCTGTAGAAGCAAAGCGAGGCAACACAGCAGCAAAAGTTGGGAATGGCCTAGAGCACACTGTCATATATGTTATCAGGCATTTGGAACACAGTAAGTGTTCATCACTGTCAGCCATTATCACAGATGCTCAGTGCTTGACATATAGCTTGTTATTTAATCCTCTGAACAAATGTGTGAGAGAGGTATTATCATTACCCCCATTTGACAGATGAGGAAACTAAGGCTTAGAAGTTCAGTTACTTGTTCAAGATCACAGAGTAAGTGGTAGTGCCAGAGCCCAAATGTGGCCCCTTGGACTCCAAGTCTGCTTTCTATGCTGTGCAGTTCTCCCATCCTAACATATCTGATCGCTTACCTCAACAACCCTGTGAAGTGAGCAGCAGGTATATTCTCATTTTTCAAGTGAAGAAACCAGAGATTGTTACATACCATTCCTAAGGTAAAATGCTGCTGATAAATGGCTTAACCAGAATTGTGCATCTAATCCAGTGTTGCTCTTTCCACACTCACTTTTGTTATGCATAGGTGGTAAGATTTTCAGAGTTTGATAAGCCAACTGATATAGGCAACAGATAGCAAGTTGGGGCCTTGGGATAAAGAAAAACCAGAACTCACATGCCTATAAAAATTAGAAGTATGATGGTGTGTCTTTTGTTTCATTCAAAGGCATTGTACCACACACGTAAGCAAATATTTAATTAGAAAGGCAAAATGTGACTTCCACTGGGATGCTTAAGTAGGAAAATATGGACTCATTTTGACTAGATCTCTGTAAACACATGGAATTTTACTAAACTTATTTGATTACTGGGCTTCCATTTCAAAACAACATGGTGTCATCAGAGAAATGATTCCAACACTATCCAACCCAGTTGGTCACTCACTAGTTCAGTTTCCTTCTAATATTTAGTTTCACTCCAATTTTCATATAAGTTACCAATTGTGGGCCGAATTGCATTCTAACTTTCCCAGTTGTGCCTTTCTTTCATTGACTGCACCTGAGCTGCAAGCATGGAGGAATACGTGCATTGGGATGAAACTTAAAAAATATTTTTTGATTTTTATATAAACAGATATGTTGTAAATTTTTATATCTATCCATAAAAATATGCCACAGTGGTTATGGAATATCAAATCAAATTTCTGTTTAAAAAGTTACTCTGAAGTTTAATTAAAAGAGATGATCCTAAGTGAAATAAGCTAAAGACAGAAAGAAGACTATTGCATGATCTCACTTATATGTGAAATCTAACCAAAAAAAAAGGTCAAATATATGGAGATAAAAAATAAAGCAATGGTTAGCAGGGGCAGGGAGAGGTGAGTGTGGGGGAGAAAATGGGGACATTTAGGTCAAAGGATACAAAGTAGCACATATGCAGGATGAACAAGTCTAGAGAGCTAATGTCCAACAGAAGGACAATAATTAATGAAATTGTATTGTATTACACTAGGGATTTTTGTTAAATAAATAGATTTTAGCTGCTGTGGTCACACACAAAAAAAGTATGCTGTGAGATGATAAATATGTTAATCTGCTTCTCTATAGTAACATTTTACTACCTATGTGTATCCCACAATGTCATGCTATAAATCTCAAATATACACAATATAACTTATTGAAAATAAAAACGAAAAACTGAAAAAAGAGAAAAAAGAGAGACAGAAAGAAGGATTCTTTTCCTAAACAGTGTTCCGAGGCACCACTCCAGGGCACTGAATCCTCACTGAGAGTCCAGTACTACCAACAAATCACTGAGATGACGTATGGCAGCCTGAGTTTTTTTTTTTTTTGGAGTTCTTCCATCCAACTACTGACCATAGCTGTCTCTGATTAGCGTATGAGATCACAGACAGAGGTTTTAGGCAGCAGGCAATTGTTCCCTGGGTAAATAGCAGTAGATACAGGCGTGGGTGTGTCAGTGGATTTCCTCCATCTCTAAGGCCAAAGGAGCTCTAGGCACACCACGTCAAAAGACAGCACGCTCTGCACGCATTCCTTCACTGGCTTCTTAGGGCAAGGTGAATTTGCTGTGTTTGAGAGCCAATGGAATAAAGGTGTTGCATTGCATTTCGTCACATGGCTGGAAAGCAAACTGGATGAGACCTTTACACAATGGAGGGAGTGTCTGTATCTGGGCCTTCCGAAAAATACTGCTTTGTTAAAAAAAAGAAGAGCCAGTTGCTACATTCAGGTAGGAAAATGCTCTTGCTTTTCAGGAGATAAAAGATCACCCATACTTTTCATTACTCAAATGAGGTCTTGAAGC